TTAAAGACACTTGAATTATCACGGATTCGGCACTGGAAATGACGCAAATGGCACTGCCCCTGAAATGCGAAAATAATACCGCTTGACGATGCTCGCGGCTCGGCCAACTCAGCTCGGCTCCTGGAGACTCTCGCCAAGAGGAAGTCCCGCTGGGGGTAGCCCGTCGGGAAGCAAGCTACTCTCCTAGGAAGACAAGTTCTACGCCCTGAAAGAAAACGCTGTCCAGCACTGGCTTACAAAATAATGACACGAAATGCGGTTTTCTCGTATTATTAACTTCACTTCATTTGTTTGTTATTACACTTACGCGGGCGTCTAGGCCCGGAAAATCTTGTCGCGATCCATCACTACGCTGCAGCACGAATTCCGGCAATCACGCTTCTCTCTCATCCACGCTTACTCTACGACCCTTATCCTAGGGGCCGACTTCCGTGGCTTGCCCTGGCTACACGTGGCCGATAAACGCACACACTCGCTCCCACGCACTACTTCTCGCGACGACACAACACGATACTTTACCTCGGGGTTGACCATAGTACTCTCTGCTTCCGCGGCTTCTCAGCTGGTGACCTTGACCTCGCAGCGCACGCATGACGGTGGTGGTCGTTCCTGGGTCGTCGGGAGCAAGGTCGGTTCCAGTTGGCTGCTCGTGGTCGTTGGCTTTCCTTATCCGTCTCTCCTTCTTTTTCGATTTTCTCTCTCAATTCCTACCAAAAAACGCGAAAAACTCGGAAGCTCTGGTTCGCTCGAATGCTACTACAAGACTGATGCGTTAGGCCCACCAATTAGTGCAGCCTCGCGCATTACTGCACTATATATTATCTACATACATACTTCTGAATCTTACTGCCAGGACATCATTCACACACACTCGAACGCGACGGAATTTATAGTACATACGCTTAATACAGATACACATGTATACATACACTCTTCGTCGATGAAGCAACACTGGATTAGTACAATGACGTGGTAATTACAAATATTTTCTAATACGCAATTACATAGGTAGACCCTTATATACTAGAACTACACATTCTCGGGCTTTTCTTCGGTGCTATGTCTTCTTTTCGATTTCTCACACATGAAACAAAATAACGGGCCCAACCCGGGTCTTGACTAGCCTTATAGTATATATTTATAAATAAAAATAGATTTCACCTTGATGACGCGTTTTGGCGCTTAATGCTATAGAGTCAGAAAAAAATGACTCCGTCATACTTTGGCATATGATCTGCAGTGCTGTCGATTCCTTCAAATAAAATTTTATCAATCTTTTTCATAATCTAGAATGCTGTATCCAAATGACTATTAAATTCTAGCTAATTATCGGAAATAGCAATGTATATAAATATCATTGATAACTTTTAAATCATGTTTGGCCTAAATATTTTTATTGTCCATAGTTACTTTCTTACTTTTTATCACTGTTGCACGTTTCTTAAATTTTAAAAACATCGTGATCTTCATTTTTCCAGTGCGCATAATCTTTGCCATCAAATACAGGTGTCGAAATTCTCGTTATCTCGATTTCTCTTGTCTGTGTTGTTAATTCTTCCAGACTTTTTGTTTTGTTTTTTTTTTCATTGCAAGTATATTATTGCAATACCAGTATATACTTAATCATTTTTAAAAGAACTTCTTCCAAACTTATTAGTGTTCGATGGATACTTTTTTTATCTTTGATTATGTACAAATAATTCCTTAAATTCTAAGATTTTTAACGGCACACTTGAAAAATATTGGCATACTTCCATAACAACTTTTCCTCAATTTTTCAGTATTGGGATGACACTATCATTACATAAAACTATCGAGCTGAGACTATACAGATATATAAAAATGATTACATTGATTTTAAAATAAGTAATGGTAAATAGAATTAAATATAAAATTAATAGAATTGTATAATACATATCGTTACACAATACAGCCAACGACAAATGACTATTTTCACGCATGACCGCATGCTTTAAAGGACAGATGAGATCTAGGATCTAGTCTAAATGGTTTATCAGAACGCCAGTCGTCTGAAAAAATGTACGCTGGCAGTTGCCTGAAGATGGTGCTACTAGTCCATCTTTCAGATCAGTAAAATATATACATAGTCACCAGTACGAATGTATTACATTCTTAAAAAGAATATTTTACTCGAACAAAACATTATTTAAAACTATTAATAAAAGTCACAAGTCTCATTCTGTCACAGTGTTTTATGGCAATTAACAGCACTGTTTGATGGTCTTACAGAAAACGTATAAACATACCAAAATGTTGACCAGAGTTATTAATAAAAAAGCGTCTGCACTTTGTTTATTCCTTCTAATTGGAATAGTCTTGAGGGTATTTAAGAAAATTGTAAAAATTTTGAGTAAAATTTGTGTTCATGAAATATTTGCCCAATAAGATATCCATTGCTAATAAAATAAGAATTTTATCAGGTGCACTAATCATGTTTAAAAAATACAAAAATCCTTAACTTTACAGTTTGTAAAAAAGTTTTGTATTAACTCCATAGAATTTATATAACTTTATAAGCTTTTATAGCTTCTTCAAGGTTGTTGCACACCTTGGAGATTTATTTACTGTTGTATTCATTTAGTTCAACGGCATACCTTGCCGATGAGCTTCATGGAATTGAAACGGCCTTGGCCTTGTTTACTATTATACCGAGATGTGGATTGATACTTCTGTGTGTGTGTTATATAGAAGGAACTTTACATGGATATGTACAAATTAAAATTTGACGTATTTATACTATCTCATTTAAATATGAGATGAAGTACATAAATATCAATTATCTTGGTATCAAACACGGAGCATGGCTTATACTACAAATAATTAATGTATATCATAATTTCTATGAAAAGATTAAGAACTGATAAGGAGAGGAGTGAAACGTTCTTAGTGTCAGTAATGCTAGTACTTTCACGTGAACAGTTTCGTGGGTATTTTGGTATTCCTATCAGCGGTACTTATCTTCTGTTTTTTGAATTGATTCCTCCTCCGGATGATTGGCCACTCCCGATGTTGTCCTTTCTCGTCAGTATAGTATACTAATTTTAATCACAATATAGTGATGTATAATTTCTATATAAAAGGACGATTAGGGGAAACAAACATATGGGTAGGAGAAAAACATTCAGGGTACGAGCCTGAAAGTTATCTCTACTACATTCATATGTACGTATTTTTACCAAAAGCAAGCTTACAATAAACTAACTCCCAAATTAGGGTTAATTATATATTTTATTAAAATTTAAGAATATTAATTTATTACAAGTAACTTTATCTTTTACGATAATAACTAACGCTCGCCTTATATGATATCAATATTTGCTTGTTTTCGGTAGAGTTACAGAGAAGGATAGTGAGCGATAGGGTACGAGCCTACCACTCACCATCAACTCCTTGCTGGAACTGCCGCTCAACACTAATCCTTGCTCGCTCATCGCCTTGGTTCTCTCCCACCTGGTACAATGCTTCTCCTTCTTCTATAAAGTGGGGGAATTTTAGTTTTAGTATTGTCTGAACAGAATTTTTCGTTATAACTTCTTTCTTATAATTTTTTTTAACTTAGTCTACTAAAAGTGTAAGTTAATATTTGAGTGCACCAGCTCATTAAAATTTACGATGAATGTTTAACTTCTATGTCGATGATAATAATGTGAGTTACGTTTTAGTTTGTACTTATAACTGTATTTATTTTTGTCTTGAAATCGATAAATTTTTGAATTTACTAATCAGAATCACACTCCTGTTTTACATATTTTACAAGTTATCACAACATTAAAAAATGTTCAAAAATGGAGTATGCTGTAATCAATATAAAGAAGAAAAAAATATTACTTAAAAAAAAAAGTTCTTTTACATAACAGATTCTCAGTTACACGCATCATCAAAGCAATGGTCATCAGAAGTGCGTCTGATATTACGGATGCCTATTAAAGATACTGGTCATCTAATACTGGTAATAAACTAAACAAAATTACCGCATATGAGTAAGACTACTGTTCAGGTGGCAAAAATAGAGCTGTCAGTGACACTGATACTTATTCCAAAGTTATCACTGGCAGTTTTGAGTGAAAAAACGTATGTAGTGAATAAAAAGCTTGAGAAATTGTACTAATATCTTCAGATTATTAGCATTTTTTTTCAACATCAGTTTTACGTAAAATATTTTCTTACAAAGGAATATAAAACTATAAATCTTCTAATTAGGAAAATACTTCATTTTGTCTTACATCTATGTATAATATCGAAAATGGTTTTTAGCAGAATATATTTTGATTTCTGATACTACTTAACCTCTTTTTTAAATGCGCTCTTACTATCAATAAAAAATGAATAGTAAATTCACTAGTGGGCATGTGTATACGTAAGTATATGTGTGAGAGTAACAGTGTGGGTAGTTTAGCTTAAACGTTTAAACATATGAATGTGAGCTAATACTGCACTATGCCATGATATCTCAATAAATAGTCGCATGTAGAGATAAGATAAGTGATTTAAAATTAGTTTTACAGTACAAAAAAAGGAAGTAACAGCATTTTTACCTATGTTTGAAATAATGTTTAAGCAACATAGATAGAGAGACAGGAAGAGAAAGAGAGAGAGATAGAGAGAGAGAAAGAGAGAGAGAGAGAGAGAGAGAGAGAGAGAGACAGAGAGATAGAAAGATTGTTTACGTAGTTTTTCCGTTTACCATACAAGGGTGTAAAGAAGATTATATCAAAAAATCTCAAAAAAGCATCAGTCTTACATATTTATCCTCCTAGGGGTGGAGCTAGATTGGGCCTAGAGCTCACATAGCCTGCCTACTAAGAATCACTTGCTGTTCAGAAATTCTCTTTTCTTATATAAGCAATTTTATTGTTTGCAAAAATAAATAAATTTATATACCTTACACATTGACACTTATAATAAATGGTAGTTACATAATTGATAAAAAGTAGTTAACAACATTTTCTGATAATTCATTATTTATTGGTTCTTCGCAGGAACTGGTTTCCACAAATCCAAACCAGCGAAATTGGCGTGGTATACTTATTGCTCTATTGGTAATAATTGCTGTCTTAGCCTTGATAGTAACCTCTGTTGCACTATTAACACCTCCAGAAGAAGGACCACGTATAAAAGGATTACGCATAAGCTTATCAAACGTAAGTTATTTATCAAAAATTATTCTTCTTGTATTTTAGCCTTATATATCAGAGTATTACATATTTTGAGATGAAGTAATTAAATTTAACGGGTCGAGCATATACACACATAATATATGTATATAAGTAAACTGCTTATTTGGGCCTTTTTTTGAGCAACGACAAAAACTAGCAGAATAAATATTATCTGTTAAAGACAAACATAATTTAATAGTACTTATGAAAACCAGCACAATTCATTATATGCTGTTGATAGCTAGCATTTTTTGTTAAGCACAGGGAAGAAGTAAGTTTCGTCGACTTCTGAAGACCATGCCACTGCATTTTGTGCTGTTAATAACTGACATTATTCACCATGAATTAACCGTCATATTTAATAACTCTTTTATTTATATTTTAATGAATCGCTATAGTCATATGTATGTGTAATCAACTTAGATTCTTAAGAAATTCAACGATTATGTGCAAAATATAAATGATGTGTCCTTATATGAAAACAGTTTGTATTTTTTAAAATATATTTATTAGTTTGCTGTGCACACATAAAAATTTTGTGTAAAAGTAAGTCCAAATTATTTTCTACACTTGGAAGCATCTACTGTGCAGCTGACCATGGTATTCATAAGGAGACCCTCGATTCTGTTGCTTGCCCTGATGACATGCACCACTAGGTAAACAAGTTATAATTTTTTATTTTTTGCTAATGTATTTCAGAATCTTTAATAGTTTGAATTAAATGTTTTTAACAATGTACGGAAGTATTTATACTTTGAAAATTGACGACCTTTTTTACACTATCTTATTAAACACTTCACTTAAGTATTTTTCATGACATATCTAACTTAGATTGTAGCAGTAAATTTGAAGTGTATATTAATATAACATTAATATATGATTGATAGATAACCATCAACGGTCAATTTTTAATAGCAAATAAGAAAATGTTATCAAATTCTCACTAGCAAAGTAAAAATTTATATAAAATTTCGAATAGCATTAAAAAAAAATATTATTGCAGCTCAGTGACATTTTCAAGCAATTTTATTCTCTAGGGTTAGCATATGGAGCACTTTGAGTCCTGTTTTGCAGATATTTTAGGCTCATTATTTGCAATAGCAGACTGAAGCCACAAAATATACAACATAACAACTTTTTTAATCATTAAATAAAATTAAAATTCAAACTTTGCATACTAAGAATGCCTATTAGTGTGTTACATTGATTGTTGAGAGGGGTTATTTCATTGCCTTTGTTTTTTAATTTAATATTTAATAAAGCGTATGACACTCAAGGGCGGATCCAGCTTTCGAGTTAGGAAGGAGTCATCAGGATGTCCATTAACCCAATAACCCAAATAACCCAATCAGCGAGGAGCCCAACACCCTGTAGCCTAACTTCTAACCTTACGTAACCCTGTACCCCAAGCATTTCAAACCAAATGACCTCGTGCATTGATGTTGTACGTATTATTAATTAAAAAATTTTTCTTCCATTGTTTTTGAAATAATTTAATTTTTTTTAATAGCAAATTATTCTGCATCAAAATGAATTTAATTGAAGAATAAAATCAAGCTTTCTTTTTTATCTTTTCGCGAAGCGATTTCTGACTTCTCCCACGTCAATGGGTATGTTTTTGTGAACGTGGAGAAGTGCCAGTCCAGTAAGGTGGTCTTCTGCCATTGACGCTCTAAGCCAAGTTTTGAGCCTCTTAAGAGTAGAAAAGGACCTCTCTGCCGTTGCTATACTGGCAGGTAGTGTTGCAAGAATACTTAAAAAAATTCTTATGTTGGGATACATTTCAGCATCACAATTTTCCAACAAATAAGAAATAGACTGCGGATTATTCTTATTACGCTGCCATTTTGCCATCCAAAGTCGGTATTCGTTTATAATTACCGAAACTGAAGTATTGTTTGTCAGCAGTTTATAGTCGTTTGCGAGTTGTTTAACAGTTTCAATGTCTTCATTGGTAAATGTATGTTCAACTTTTGGAATTAAAACGCCTAATTGAAATAAATTAGGTACTTTAAGTAACAGTTATACTAACCTTTTTCACGTGATTTGGCCGCGTTTTAATGTTATTTACACTTTCATCCATTTTCGACGTTTCATACAATTATATACAGTTTAAGACAAATTACAGTATAAAACTAGGAGAATCATAGGGTACGTTTTTTTAGCGATCGGTCAGTCGGTCAGTCGGTCCGATTCCTCTAGAATGTATATCTGTATACATAGTGAGTATAGGTATGCTTTTTTGAGGAATTGGACCGACCGACCGACCGACCGACCGACCGATCGCTAAAAAAACGTACCCATACATTTACCCATCCTGATTTAAACCTATTTCAGTGCACTATTGACGCTTCATGTGATGATGTGATTGCGGCCTAACACTTCGAATCACTTGTTCAAAGATGGCGTTGGGTTACAATATAGAAATTCACATTTCGGATCATCGGGTTAATCGGGTAATTGAAATCGCAGCCGCAAATGAGTGAGGCAGTGGCTGCCGTGGCCGGGAAATCAAACGTAAAATAAAGGCGAAATAAACCTTAGAATTATGAACAACGTTTATTCGTTGCAAATTAAACTATTCCACCACATTATCATAGCAACAGTATTGTGTGGTTATAGGCTCCTCGTCAATTGGGTCACTGGGTTAAATTGCTTGGGTTAAAGTTAATTGGGTAATTGTGTGGTTATAATTTCTTGGGTCTTCGTTTATTGGGGTTAGTGGTTTTGAATTTTCCGCTGGTTTCAGGGGAGGGAGGGTCATAACCCCCATGGCCCCCCCCTGGATCCGCCGTTGATGACACTTTATCCGTTAGTAGTACAATTTGGCTACACTGGACCCTCATGGTTTCTCACCACCTCACGTAAAGTACACACAAAAAAGGGAGTAATGTTATAGAATAAGATTATTATTATTATAAACTTTTGAAGCATTTAAAATCAAGTTTATTAATTAGTTAATATGACATCTTTAAAGACATGTAATAGTATATCCTCTTAGACATAATAATTTTATACACGGGAACTGGTCAAAAAATAGGGTGAGTTCTGAATTTTCGTAGAGTATAAACATTAATACAAATTTATAATCTTTTGTTTAGTGTGTTTGTAAGCTGGTCATGATAATATTTATATAGTTTTAAGTATCTCGAACTCCTTATTTGTTTATAAAAAACCAGAACAAAGGGAATTACTGTTATACTTCTTAGTTTTTGTGTATTAAAAAAAACTTTTGCAAGGACTTTGCATTTATTTAAGTGTAAAAAACGGAATAAAGTCCTTCTTACACAACTTTGCTCTGGATGCCCCAGGATGTTAATAACAGATAAAAACATTAAATAGTGGAGAAAAACAAGTTTGGAACATTTTTGCATCACTACTAGATAAGTAGCTGATAATTTCAGCGTCTTCTTTGGCTCAGGTCCAGCAACTTAAACGGAACGACTGTTTCGGTTATAGAACTGTGTCAACATTATTTGTTCCAAATGTGTTGCATTATCCACTCACCCATCGTTGCTTGTTCACAAATGTTTGGCAAAAAATAATTACAGTTATTATAACCTAGCCTTTATATTGGGCATGACCCTGCGTAACCTTTTACTGATACCAAAACTTAAGAAACCCATAAATGGTCCTTAATTTTTAACGATTGAGAATGTTAAAGCCAAACCGCTGGGAGAGCTGCTTAAGGACATGCCATAAAAAAAAATGTTGAAACTGTTTTGAGGGTTGGAGAAAATTCTGTTGTTACTGTATAATATCGAAAGAGAGCTACTCTGATGACGACAAAATAAGAACTAATAGATAAATAAACATTTTTAGAGAAGCATGAAAGTGCACCTTACTTTCTGAGCACATTGTATATTGGTGTTAGAAAAAACCTAGAAGCTCGTGTTCTATTTAAGTCGCACTAACACATTCGGTGTAAATGTAAGAAGGCTTAAAAATAAAAAATAGTTCTTCCATTGCAGTAAAAATTACGCTTACAGCACACTTTTATACACTTTTATAAAGCAGAGCAGTAACTGATGACACAGAATTCTCAGAAAACGTAAGTGTTATGTTAATATAATGTAATCTCTGAAATCTTAGAGTAAGTTTTTCTCTCTACAGGCTTGACTATCTCTTTGCATACAAAAGCAAAATCACTATTTACTAAACAAGTTAATTTAAAAGATAAAATTGTACACACGTGGCATTACTTGGCTCGCAACAAGGCTCAGATCTAATAAAAGCCACCCTTGCCTTCAGGTTGGAAGATAATGTAAATATATAGGACTTTATACACTGTTTCTCTTTTGTTCTTCTAATTTATCATCCAGTGTTTAATTTGGTTTGACTCTCCCCCTTCAACTTATTTAAAATAAAAATTCTCAGGTGAGTTCAATAAATTTGGATATTATTTTTTTTTATTTCTGAAAAAAAATGCAGCTGCAATAGCTTTTCAAGACAGAAAATTCGATTATGTTCAGACGCATGAGTGGGACAATAGCTTTGGATAATAAACGCACATATGAGATAGAATATTATTGCTTTTGCGAAACGTGCCATTCAATTAGATTGTTATTACATCGCGTATTTTGTGATCTCTCCTACTCCACTCTTCAGATCTGTCGTTGGAAAAACTGTACTCCCGATACCTGGATTTATGCATTAGGTAAAAGTGCATCTTGAAAATATTAACTGCATTCTTCCACTCCTCAAGAGAATATATATGATTCAACAGAATATCATGGTATTATAAGGTACGTGCATTATGGCACATATGACTAAAATAAATGAAATGAATTAAAGTTGATATTTACAAAGATTGAAGGCTTATACCCCGTACAACCACCGTATATTAAAACATTTCAGTATAATGTACAGAATAACTGTGCCGTACAAATACGCAGTCTAAAAACAATATATCTTGTCGCAGCTGGTAAGAAAGATTCTATAATACGTATCACATATCTTGTAATTTAAAATTATTAAAAGGAAAC